AATACTGAGTTATTCAAATAAAGGTTCTGGTGTCTACATTGCATATTTTGTTGTGATGTTTTGTTGTACCATCATAAATGGTACATTTTGTGGAGCAGACTGCCTAATTTGATGTCATTAAATTACACACAAAATTAGAGCTCAGGTTGCACCAGCAAGCACCATTTTCAGCATGCTGTTCTTGTTTTCGGCGGACGACAGAGGGGACACCTCCCTCTCCTTCTCTCTTCTCCGTTGTGCTCGGTCGCGGGAAAATGCTCCGCAGTTTCCAGACAAAGTTTACTAATACTTTTTTTTCTTGATTAGTAAATTTACTATTACCTAGAAAATTCCAGAGAGAGCCCAGGTCACCTAATAACAAAAATGACATGAAGCAACATCCATGCAGTGTTCTCCCCAGGCCTTTCAAGCACTGCGGGTCCGTGTCGCTTAGACAAACAGCCACGTCGCTTTTGTTTCGCCTGCGATCCTTGAAATCCTGTCCGCGATGCTTATTCACGTTGTATTGTTTACAAGTGTCAGCCTTGTCTAGCACATCTTTAAAACAATAACATGTATTGATCGAAAGGTAATTCCGTCTTTGTACATAGTTAGCCTTACAAAAAAAGTGATAAAAAAGGAAGTCTACAAGATGTTACCAAGTCTATCAAGGGTGCAGAGCTGGCAAACCCAAAATACTAGGGTAGTAATAATTTGCCCATTGCGTCAAGATGATCTATCCCGAGTTGCTGCACTGTGGTTAATTGCGTTTTTACTACTTCATCGCCAGTGACACTAATTACCAAGAATTAAAAAAAACAAGTGAAATTAAGTCGCATTGGAAAGAAAACTGTAAATAAATTGAAGTAAAAATTATTCAACTGCAGACAAGACGGACAAGGAAAAAACGAACCCTGACCTCTAGAAATACCTCATTCAAAGTGCGTCATTACCGAGGAACGCCACCCTAAGGCGACGTAACGCATGTAGTGACATCACAACCAATGCATGATGGGTTACAAAGGAGATTTTGATTGAGGTAACAAAGATGGCGGCGCAGAGTGCATGTTTTTCCGCCATGTTTAAAAACAACATTTCGTTGGCGATTTTGATGTAATTTCTAAGTTAATCATCAATGAATCGTTTTAATTAAGCAAACATTCTAAGTTTGTGTATTTTTAAACAAAAAAGTCAGGGACCGATGATCGCAACAGCAGCGGTGAATACCCGTTCAACGCAATGCTGTCAGCTGACAATGTTACGGTGATCGTAGCTTTACACAAATAATAGATAGATCAATGAAAAATCGCTGACTTTAGTTTTTAAATGCGGTTGTAGAAAAAAAATGTCACTAATGATTTATTAATTCCTTCATATTTTGATAACCCGCAATCTTGCAGAATTTACAAATTTAACAAACTGCGTCCGTCCGAAGTCATATCTCAGAATCCCTTGGACCGATTCCGTTCATTCTTTGCATGTGCTTAGTACTTTATGTGGGACATGTGCACATGCAGTGGTTTAGTGATTCGATTCAAAATGGCCGACTGGCAGCCATCTTGTTTTTTTGTATTTTGCACATGCTTTGTCAGTTGTTATTCAAACTTGGTACATAGAATATACATGTTAGAATACATGTCCATGACGATTTATTTCGCAATTGGATCAAAGATGGTAGACTGGCAGGCATCTTGTTTTGTTTTTTATGCAGTATCTTGGACGTCAGTTTTCATTCAAATTTCGCACATACATGTACTTTATACATGTTAGAATGCATGTCCATGATAATTTGTTTCAAAATCTGGTCAAGGATGGCCGATTGACAGCCATCTTACTTTTTGGCCTTACTACTATATTTCCACAATTTATGTATCATTTTCATTGGTATTGGCATTGGCACATACATCATACATATCAGTGTGTTTCATAATCAGATCAAAGATGGCCGAATAATGGCTGTTTTTATTTTTGGCCATATTACTACTACACGGAACACGTGTTTTGATGTAAATAAACAATCTGTTGTATACGCCACTTGGAACTCAAGTTTTATGGACACGCTTGCGACAACCCCTCCGCTTTAATATGACGAGCACAAAGAGAACTTTCAAAAATTTAACTGGGACTGTGTCTTTTTCAATGACTTGTTATATGCCATATTGTAAAATCAAAATTTTGGCTCGGGCATAATGAACTTTTTGTTTGCACGGCCCTGTCGCCCTTTTTTCTGTGATTTTATTCGCTACAAAGTCTCTTAAGCTGGTTATGTTTTTTTTTCTTTTATTTCTGACTGCTGTCTTATGGCTATCACCTTTAACCCTTATCCTGCCAGACACATGTATTTTTACATTGGCTTCATCGGATAAGGGTTAATCTCAAATCTGTTAGTTAATGGAAATAAAATTCATTGAAAAATACATTATTCCTGATATTTTATAAGTACCTTGGTAATAAACATTGAAAATAAAAATGCTACTTTGTATCGAAAATAAATTGATGCAAAAATATTTTACAGCCCTTGATAATAAATTACGAGAATACCACAAAGTTTGCATGAAGGCGGTATGGTCATCGTATCGACCAATGCGTAGTGGATTTCTGTACAACCTGAGTGAACATGCTGATAGCGCTTCTGCGTCTGGAGTAAACAAAGAACAGTCTTCAAACGTGACGTAAACATGACACTAAATTTCCAAATGAGAAAGACATTCAAATGTGTTCATAGCACTATTGTACAAAGTTTTATGGAGGGTAAAATCTACTGTATTCAGATGTATTGTTTCATTGCCAGATTTTTAGCAAGACAAATGAAATTGTTGTGCCATTTTATCCATAATCATACATTGCTGGAGAGATGTTCAACTTTAAATGTTTGTCTTAGTACTAAATAATCATTCCGTTGCTTATTTTTATTTCAGAAAAGAGTCTTTGTTCAAAACTTGACAGAAGAATTGGTGAATGGTTATTCGCAAGTTATGGATTTACTTCGTAAAGGAGAAGGTCTGTTGCATTTATAGCACTAACCTGCAATTATTTGAGTCTAGAAATGAAAACAGACAACTTGAGGGATTTTTGTGTGTATGTGTGATTATAGCTGATAGCGCACATTTTAGTGGCCCCAGGAATCAACCATACTCGTACCTAACCTGGGCGACCACTGAGCAAATATGGCCTGATCTTATAAGACTTATGCAGGTACATGTACATCCACCTAATAAAAACAAGGGCAATCTTAGCTTTCTTGATCGGGTCACCAATTTTGCATAAATCAAGTTCGGCTATTCTGTTCAATTACATCAGCAACTCATTGGCTCATTCAAAAATAGTTCCTGACCTGGAAATGCATCACAACATTTGACATTTGTGTTCTTTTTGCCATTGAAATGCATCAATGCATACGCCGTTGTGTTTGATTTTGTCGACCGCAAATTAAGTTTTATGGTGGGAATTCTGCCAGTATATAATGATGTGGTGACGGCGGAATAAATGAACCTTGGCTGGAGAAGATGTGTAGTGATGTGATAATATGTACATTTTGAAGACTGTATTAGTGATAAAAACACAACTACTTGTAGCTATGAATAAGAGTCAATAAAATGGAGGATTTCTTGACCTACTCACCAATAGTTGCTGTACATTAAGTGGATAATAAATTTGGTTGAATGAAAGATTTTTTAAATTATCTCTTTTTACCTAGGACGCCGCCACATTGCTGGTACCAACATGAATGAACACAGCAGTCGATCCCACACTATCTTCTGCATTGTAAGTATGGCGGAAAGGCCGGAGGATAACGTCTATATACATGTATTTATTACTGGAACTATTCAACATTTGAGCATTTGCGTTTTAGTGTTTGTACTGTACTCATTACAAACTCTGCATCCTAACCAGACAGGAGTGGGATTTTATTTCCAAACTCGTTGATGTGAATAACTTTGCTGTTTTGTTAACTGTTATTGATTTGTTGCAGGTTATTGAAAGTCGTGAATACGATGAAAGCAATGAGAGCAATGATACTGCAGTGAAAGTGGCTCACTTGGTAAGTAGGCTTTTATGCAGCATAATGTCACATGCAGGCTGATCTCGCATCTTAGAGTTGTTCTCAAAATACAATTACATACTGTAAAATACTTTATTTTAGCTGGAATTAATTTTTGCTGAAAAGATATTTTGGCTGTTGTGTATGTCAATTATTTTCACTGATTTTTGACGAGTTGAATGTAAAACATAGGGAAAAAAGTATATTCGCTGGATTTTATTTTCACTGATTTATCCCTTCAGCAAAAACATGAAAATAAATAACTTACGTAACAATAATCTACTATTTATATTCTATTGTTAGAACCTTGTTGATTTAGCCGGGTCAGAACGTGCCAATGAGACTGGTGCCGAAGGGACGCGACTACAGGAAGCCTGCAAGATCAACCAGTCCTTATTTTGTTTGGGGCAAGTTATCAACAAGTTGAGCTCTGGTAGTTCTCATATTCCATATCGAGAGTCGAAACTGACTCGAATGTTGCAGAGCTCTCTTGGTGGTAATGCGAAGACTGCCATTATCTGTACAGTGACACCAGCAACAGTAAATCTCACACATAGCACCTTGCAGGTAATTTCAGAAACAATGTTTTTACATCTGTGTCTTTAAACTTTGTTTTTAAACTAATTTATTTGAGTAGACCTAAACAAAAAGATAATAACTTAGAAATGATACATTTTTGTAAGTCCTTTTTGTTTTGGCACGTTGAATAAATGCTTTTCTCATTCAAATCTAAAATATCCTATATCTTAAAGGTTCATAATAAAACAAGTAAGGCCCCCTAAGTATGTGATAAACAGGACAAATTAAAGCGTGAGGGTCGTCACCTGCGCATGCGTGGTAATTGAGTCTCGAGCGTTGATAACACACGCTAAAAATGCAAAGGCTCATGCGTAGGTGCTTGTTTGTAAACAATGACGCGCTATGGCCATCTGGCGCATGCGCAGGTGACGACTCCCCCTGCTTTAAGAGAATTTGTATTTGAGCTGGTCAGTTTAGATTTTTGTATAATTAGTGGTACTTATTCTAGTTTAATGACAAAATGTTGTTAAAGGTGTAATAATTAACCCTGAATTTTTTGGTTTCGGTTTTGTTTTTAAAAAAAACATTTTCATCAACGATATTTTTTTTTTTTTAAATTTATTTTCAATATAATTCACATTTTGTTATATGCAGTTTGCAAGCAGTGCCAAGACAGTCATGAACAATGCCAAGATGAACGAAGTCCTTTCTGATGAAGCTATGCTGAAAAAATATAAAACGGAAATAAAGGGCTTGAAGGAGAGAATACAGCAGGTAAATATAAAAATAAATCAAGATGTACTGTAAAATCTGTATTAGAAGCCGCGACTTCTATTAAAATGGTACAATGCAACAGAGGGGATGCGGCTTCTATTAGAGCACCTACACATATGAGAAATGATGAATTTTTGGTTCTCAATTATTCAAATAGAATGGATGCGACTTCTATTAGGGATGCGGCTTCTATTAAAATGGTACAATCCAATAGAGGGGATGCGGCTTCTATTAGAGCACCTACACATATGAGAAATGATGAATTTTTGGTTCTCAATTATTCAAATAGAATGGATGCGACTTCTATTAGGGATGCGACTTCTAATACAGATTTTACGGTAGTTTGTAGTTGTTTTCTGAATTGTTTCTTGTGTTTATGGAATATGTGATGCATTTATTGTATGAATGTACACAAAGTACAGGAAATCTTTTCAGTTATAGTGTAAGCCACTATAGTTGAGAACTGATGGAAAAGTTTGAGAAAGCTATGTGAAAAGCATTAGAAAATGAAATCACATTCAGAAAAGGCAGAAGTTCACTGCAATTTGATCATTTAAAAAATTATTCCTGCAATTTGTGCCTTTTCGTACCATCAACAGTCATATAGTCCAAAGCTCCAAAAACCCTGAAAGATAGAATTCAAAGTGTGACTAACCTGCATTTTACGCTGAACCACCATTGTCTCAATCCTGATATTTGTATGGAAATTATTTTGCATCGTTTTTCAAAAATATTTCCCATGAATATTTGTTGTGACACAGGATTTCTTCAAACATATTTTTGACATCGATATCAAAGAAGAATTGCGACTTTTAATGACACAGAAACCTTGACCACTTCTCTGCCTCCAGATTGGTTTTCTATGCTTTTCAAAGCTACATTTTTTTGTTTTTAATGTGTGGATCTATGTAGTCTAATGCAGTATATATGTTGAACAAGTATTTACAGAACTGTTAATATTTTTAAGTTTTGATTGTTTGTGACTGTGGCCTAACCGACATGCAAAAATTGTGAATATACATCTGTTTACAATATTTGTCTTGTGTATAATGTTATATTCTACAGCTTGAAGAAGGAAACGCTTCAGTATTAGGTCCAGAAACGCAACTCCAGTTTGCTGAGTTGTTGGCCTTTAAAGAAAAACAGGAAGAGCAAATAGAAAAACTCAAGAAATTATTTATAGTGTCAAGTGTTGCTTCCACGCCAAAGAAAATCAAGACGAAGGTTTGTTAGTTATTCATTATCTTTTTGTTTTTTATTAAAGGGCGATGGTGGTCCTGCTGCGCATGTGCGACCTTTGTGTTGATAAACATAGATTTCCCACAATCCAATGCGCTCTTCTAATGGAAATCACAAGTATGAGGCTTGACCTTGGCGCCACTTGCACTATTTACTGCCGGTGACTCCTTCGATACCTTCCAATCACCTGAAAAATACCTAATTAAAGCTTGGTAACGTCTCACTTTGAACTAGTTGATCTGCGCAACAGTCAAAAGTCGCCATCTTTGTTTATATGAGACCCATATATCTTGTGCATGAGTGGCGCGATGAGTACCGTCCTATATTTTCATTGTCAACTGTTTTTGTCTCTCTGTTATATGCAACCATATCGAATATTTAATCTAGGTGTTTTAAATTCTTTGTGAGATTTCAATCTAACAGTTCTCTGATATATGTAGCACAACTCGTTTGACATTGCGGTATGACATGCTTTATTTTACCCACAGAGCAATCGTCGAGAGACTTGGTGTCCTGGGACAAGAAAACCGTTTTTTCCTCCGCCTCGATTAGGAGCAGCATCTTTGGGATTGTCGCCGATTGGAGAATGCTCCTCTGATGAACAAACTGTTATGAGTGTTTTTAGGAAACATAATCTTAGTGTTCGTGGTGATGAGACAGAAGCGTCTTTTAGTGGCACCATCGGTAAGCTAATTCTATGTTGTGCAATCTGCAATGCCATAACCAGCCTAGTTTTAATTGGATGTAACTTTGATATTTGTATCTGCAATAATGATTTGCATGTTAGTTGAGCTTGCTCTTGCCTCACAATATGCAATTGATAAAACACTTGAAAACATCGGTTGTGGAAAGGTTTAACATATACCACACACCCAGACTCGCGCAAATTTGTAAGGCTGCTGACAAAAATAATCACTGACAAATGCAAATGCTTTGTTTGCATTGAGCATTTCTGAAGGTGTACATGTACATCTGTCTTGATTTGGTGTTAATATTGTTTATCTCAGCTGCATGCATGAAAAATTGATATGTGAATATGAATATATATGAATCTGCTTAACATGTTTGCATTCTAGCAACAAGCATGTGTTGCCTCATACCATACCTGTCTTTCCACCAGCATCATTTTAATTTGAGTCAAGTTACCTGACATTAATCTGTGATTAAATTGATTCATAAATCTTAATAACATTGGAGACCACACAAAGTTTATTCTGAACATTAATGGCAGCATATTGCTCTATTGGGCTGATCTTACTTAATGTCTGTAATACTGCGAAATACTGATTTTAGTTTCATGCAAGAATGTCACTATTTCCTTTGTTTCTCAGCGCAAACATATCATTGTTTTATGCATTGTGGACAAAAAAAAAAAACATTTCAAAACTGAAGTGATATTTCATTGATCTACTACGATCACTGTAACATTGTCAGCTGACAGCAATGCAATGCAATGCAATTAGCATTCATCGCCGCTGTTGTGATTGTTGCTTTCTGATATTTCTGTTTCAAAATCCAAAAATGTAAAATTCTGTTATTGGTAAAAAAAAATAAAAAAAATATTGTGGAAACATCAATATTGGCAACTGAATGTTTGTTAGAAATCGCACAAAAATAATGCACTCTGAGCTTGGTTACCTTGATCCAAAATCCTTCGTCATCCAGCATGCATCTGTCGCAAGTTGTTCCATAGTCTGCGATCTTAGGTTCCTATTAAAGCATTATGTGTATGAGGTATTGTGGATGTCACGGTAATGTTTTTTTATTGGCCTTCTCGTCTGCACGACAAAAACCTGCCTAGATTTACATTAGTTTTTCTTCAACTTTATTTACCGGGGTAGTATTTATTTTCTGTCTGATATTTTGTGTCACTACAAAATGAGGAAGTACCAAATAACCTTTGTGCAGCAATCTTCACACTTCACCACTGAAAGACTTTGTGACACCTTTTAGACTTAATATTACTGCTGTCTTTCTTTTGCTAATAAAGGCGGAATATTTTATTATTGTAGTAATGTTTGTTATTGTTTTACATTTGTGACAAAAATATTTATTATACTTTATTTTGATTTTATGTAAAAAATTTGTATGGGTGTTTTGTATACCTGTTTTGCGTCTACCCCTTGGTATCATCCATGACCCTTCCTGTGAAGCTAATTAATATTTATAAATATTTAAAAAGATATTTGCAAAATACCTTCCATGAAAATAAAAATGCATGCTTATAATCAAGTTTTTCACAGCATTATTATTTTTTATTGTAATATTTATTGTAGTAATTTCCGCTGGTGGAGACTGGAATCTTTTCTTTTGCATGGCTTCTTCTTGTATTGTAGTTTAGAAATAGTTCTTTTTCTTCTATCTCTGTCCACTTAGAATTCTCTCCTGCTTGTGATAACTCCGTTTTTCTTAATGATTTGGATGAAAAAGCCCAACAATTAGATTCCAGCCTACCTGTCAAGTTTGAAGAAATGCCTCCTCCTCCACCACCACCTCCTCAATCGTCTGTCACATCCCAGAGACGCAAACGCAGGAATTTAGTGCATTTTGCTGATGCTCCAATGAAGCTTCTTGAAGAACATACACAGGACAAAGGATCTCAGACAGATACAGTGGTATGTTATGAATCTAATAAGCCTTCTGTATGAGTCTTGAAGTTTACTCATCCTGGCACTTCTGGGGTATAAATTCCATAACTCAATTCTCGCCAGGTTACACATCCTGGCACTTCTGGGGTTATAAATTCCATGACTCAATTCTCGCCAGGTTACACATCCTGGCACTTCTGGGGTATAAATAACATAATTCAATTCTTGCCAGGTTACACATCCTGGCACTTCTGGGGTATAAATAACATAACTCAATTCTTGCCAGGTTACACATCCTGGCACTTCTGGGGTTATAAATTCCATGACTCAATTCTCGCCAGGTTACACATCCTGGCACTTCTGGAGGTATAAATTCCATAATTCAATTCTTGCCAGGTTACACATCCTGGCACTTCTGGGGTATAAATTCCATGACTCAATTCTCGCCAGGTTACATATCCTGTCACTTCTGGAGGTATAAATTCCATAATTCAATTCTCGCTAGGTTACACATCCTGGCACTTCTAGGGGTATAAATTCCATAACTCAATTCTCGCCAGGTTACACATCCTGGCACTTCTGGGGGTACTACAGCTATAAATTCCATCATTCTATTCTTGCTAGGTTAACATTGCCTGCTGACGCTTTTTTTTTACCCCATTGATTTTGTGATGCCCATGTCCTTTTGTGGTTACTGTAATTTTTTTGAGTTGATAGTTTGATTCGTAATTTTAATTTGGGTACTGTTTGTCACCCTTTGCATATATCAGTCTGAGGTCATTTCTCAGACGTGCTTTGACCAATCAAATTCACTTATGATGACAAAATATTGCTGACTGACAACTATTTTGGTTCTCAAGTTCTGATACTTCTCAGAGATGAACAAGGAGATTTCATTTAAATTTTAAATCAGGATCATGGCATAGCTTTTTAAAGATTCCAACAAAAATGACCAACAGGTGGTCATTTTGTTTCATACATGTTCATGCCAATTCTCCATTATATATATCCTGATTAAGTTGAAAGTTGGCACATCAGTACTATACTCATTGGTAATATATCATAGGTTGTTTTGGGGTTTGATCAATTTAGGACCATTTTTCCTAAAAGTCATAAAATCAGTCTATAAACATGTCATGTCTTTGTGACAGGATTGTTCGATACTGGGTTATAGGTGAAGATTAATTTTTTTTTCGAGATGCAAAAATATCCAACTGGTGAACATTAGGTTTTTATGACATATTAATTTCTCTCTGCAAGTGTGAATATATTACCACATTTGGTCTATGCACTTGCAGTCATACTTGTATTGAAATTGACCTACATGTATGATGCATGGAGCTCTTTGATAGGCACGTGGCTTGTAATGAACATTGAGATCAACTATCAGTAAAAACATTATGTCTGTACATTGTCAGTGTTTGTTTTTATAAATAACCCAATCATACTGTGCTCATCTCCCTCTGATTTCTGTACTGTACTGTACTGTTGCTTTAAAGGAGGATGTTGTCATAGAGACGAATATTGATGCAAATGACGAACTACAACAGCAGTTGTCAGAACTTTCCTCTGTGTCTGAATCTCTGACTGCGGAGAATATTGACCTACAAAATCAACTGTTCAATGCGGAGAACAGAGTTGAGGAACTTGTTCTAGTTAAGTCTCAGCTGGAAGAGGAAGCTTCTCTTCAACAGCAGCAATCTGCAGAAAAGCTGGAAGAGATTCTGATTGAGAATACACGTCTAAGGGAAGAGATAATTTCTAAAGAAGCTGGTGAACAAGGTGGTTCAACTCATCTGGAGCAAACTCTAGCAGGTTGGTGTCTATTGAAGAATTTAAAATTTATTTTTGAGCTTTTTTGATATCACTGATGACAATATCTGAAACACTAACTGGTTGGTTATGGAGTATTCAGTGCCATTTCATTGTGATGTTAATTGCCTTGTAAATGAAGAGTTGATTCAGAAGTTCCTGTCGTTTATTGTCATAAACATATAGTATGTCAGCCCCATGTACTTTTATTTGACCAGTTAAACTAAAAATGTTAATATTGCATTGATTCATTTATTGTGCACTGTCAAATTTTGTTAACTTAAAGTGCATGCTTTTCTATTGTGCCTCGTCTTTGCAAAGTAATATTCTGTGTGCCATCTAAAAAAACTGATTTTTTTAGGAATTCAAAAGGAGTCAAAATGAAATTCCACAAACTCGAGTTTAATTAGTATGTTGACTGATGATGTAGTCTTTAAGAAAAAAATTGTTTGCTTGTATATGCGACTTGTGCACAAACAAAAATGTTGTGCCCCCCCCCCCATTTTCTTTCGTGTTTATACTTATTTTGTTCATAATGTGAATTTCATTTCATCGAATACATCACAGCAAATCCTTGCGTCAGTGCATCGTCATATTGGCTTAGAGGGTACACTGGTTCTAATAATTATGCTGTTTATCACTTAGATCTGGAAATGCTATTACGAGCTCGCGAAGTAGAGATAAGCATGCTTAAAGAGATGGTTAGTGCAGCCGAGGATGAAAAAGACAATTTACGTGAAAGGCACTCTGCGTCAGTGTCAGAATTGAACCAGCGTATTGAAGAGTTACAAAACCAACCACGGAATGAATTACTGGTGTCTACATCAAATGAAAATGATGAAGTGCATTTATTGAAACAAAAGGTGAGAAAGTAAATTAAAATAGTCAACAACCCCTGTGGGTGTCGGAAATATTAGATACGGTCTATATTTGTATTAACCCTTACAACTGTTGATGCTCCTGTCCTCAGTACACATAACCTGTGTAGCTTTGTCACAAAGAGCAACAGATATCTATGAGATGTTTATCTTTCTTGTTGACTCTGTAATTGTGGAGATTCCTAAATCTCTTATTAGGATCGTTGACTCTGTATCTGAGCAATAAATAAATGAATAGATTCAAGACTTAGTCTATTTAAGTTGTTATTAATCTTAGTTTTGTTTTGTTTTGTAGAATGAAGAGTTTAAAAAAGAACTTGAAGAGGCTCTTGGACTCTGTGAAAGGGTTGTCATGGAGAAAACAACATTGGAACAAGATTTTGAGAATGCTAAAGATGACCGTGACAGATTGCATGGCGATTATCTGATGCTGTAAGTTTCTTGCATGCTAATGACATGCTAATGGAATGCTAATGATAGTTACTTTTGAGTTCATGCCACTTTTGGGATGAAAGTTTTTCATCTGTGTTCACTGCTGGCCATATGTGAAAGATGTCAAAAACGGAAATGTAACCAAGCATTCAAACTTATACATCAGCAGTTTTTCATTCCTATTCTATTCTTTCCTGAACTACTTGTCTATGATACCATACTCTAATGTAGTAGTATTTTATTGTTGTGAAACAAGTGTTCTGATGTTATGTTATTAATGTATAACAAAGTAGTATTTCTGAACAATTTCCTATAAAACATGTTACACCGTACCTGATAAAATATTAATGTATAAAATACTGACTTTTTTTTCTGCTACTGTACTTTTATTGTTTGACTCTGAATACTTTTTTCAAAATTGATTGCAAAGATTCAATTATATCTTGGGGAAACAGGATTTTATTATATCAAATATTCTCACTACTTCAGACAAGGACAATATGAGGCGCTTCACACTGAGCTGGAAAAGAAAGAATCAGAACTAAAGGATTTAGAAGAATTCACAAGACTTGAAAAAGATGTTGAAGAACAAGAAATCGCAGAAGTAAAGGTGGGATGACCTACTATGACAATTTATTTTCACCAATGGCACAATTTTAATCTTTTCTCTCCATTTTCTGTTGAACAAACTTTGCAAATTCGTGTATGTTCCAGAGACATATATTTCTGCCCAGAAATCTCCAAAGTTTGATTAAATCTAGAAAATAGAGTAAAAGTTGAACATACTCAACTGTAGATCTGTTGTATAGTTGTATAGGGAAATGTTTTTAAACTGATTACAGAACTACTTTTAGTTGACAGACGAGACATTTTTGTTGCTAAGCGTGCAAGTAAACGATTGAAATTAAATATATTTTTTTTGTGGACAATTCATCATCACGGTGTATGAACAGTACTACCGCAACTAGTTCATTTTTGATGCAGCATGTTTTCCGAAACAGATTACATAAACACTTGTTGCACGCATCCAGACGCTTACATAATAAAATGTTACATATCAAAAAACATCACATGGTTCATTGTTCTATTCCTTTGGTGTTTGCCACAGTTGCATTGTATTCTATCATGTATTTGGTTTAATCAACTTTAATTCACACGTTTTTTATTACAAATTTATTTATGTTTGCAGGAAAAACACCAATTGGATATTAGTCATTTCAAGACAAATTTAGAATCCCAAACCGAAAAAATTAATGAACTGTCAGAGCAGGTGACACATTATAAGAGAATATCTTGTGAGGTAAGAAATGTTGTAGTCATGATATAAATAGATTTTCTGCATTATGTGTATGATAG